GGGGGGAGGGAGAGGGAGAGAAGGACAAGGCGAGGGCGGTAAAGGGCGGGTAGGAGTGGCGGTTGGGTTTCACCACATCGGGGGTCGGAGCTGGAAGACGGATGGGACGGAGGTGAGGTGGACCCCGCACCGGCAGTTGCGAGTGGCGGTTTCACAACGGCGTTGTGGGGCAGGGGGGGAAGCACCCGGGGGAAAGCGTGGGAAGCTGACCAGGTGTCGTACTATGCCGTCTTCGCTTATTCCTCTACTTCACCATGTCGTATGTTGTGCCGTACAGGTTCCGTACGCACACATGCGTACCGCTGGTAGATATGGCGAATCACGTGGCGCCGTACTCGGCATCTAATTGTGAGATCCGTACGACACCAGCCGGGGAGGTCACCATGTACTCTAAGCGTCCTGTGAGCCGCCGTGGGTTGGGTTGGGGGGGTAAGGTGTGTGTGTGTGTGTGTTTGTGTTTGTGTGTGAGAGTGTTAAGGGTAAATGGAGGCGGGCTTTAGGGATCGGATCTTTCAGGCCGACGGGTTCCAGCAAACGTATCCTGGTAGATAGATAGTTGGGTTTGTTACATGTGCCGTACATTGCTGCCCATAGTAGTTTGGCTGTAAATGTACGGGAATACAGGAATGTCGATCATCGAGCTGTTGGCTGGTTGGTTGGCGGTTGGAGAGGCAGGTGCCCTCGGGAGGTTGCCTCTTCCCCCCGGGCACCACCGACGCCCGGACGGAGGGTTATGACCGGGGGTTGGGTTGCGGCTCTCCCCCCCCCGCCCATCCCCTTTTCCAATGCAGATTCGGGCGGGAGAAGAACTGACACTGACGTACGGCACGCACGACAATCATAACCTGCTGTTGTCGTACGGATTCACACTGCAGCCAAACCCGCACGACGCGTTCTACTTCGACATGGATCTGGATGTTCTAGAGGTGCGGGCTGGTGTGCGTGTGTGGGGTTTTAGGGGGGGAGGCGGAAACCGTACGGCATGTTCGTACGATTGAAGGCACACATTGGGATTTTTGTGGATGTGAGCTCTGTTTTACCTGAACCCGCCCCCTCCCCCCCCGCCAACCTGCTGCCACTTCTGCCACCCGGCAGCGGTTAGTGCCTCCGGTGTCATTGACTGGTGGTCTCCCCCGTCCCGCTCCCCCCACCCCCCTCACCCCGTCGCCCCGTCGCCCCGCAGAGCTTGGTGGAAGGACTGGGGGGGGACAATAACAGCAGTAGCGGCAATAGCAGTAGCAGTAGCGGCAGTAGCAGTAGCGGCACCTCCCCCCTAGCCCTCTGGCAACTCGACTTGTTGAGCTCCAAAGTCGGGCTGAGCAGTCCGCAACAACAGACAGAACAAGGAGGCAGTAGCACTGGCAGCAGCAGTAGCGAGAACAGTAACAGCACTGGCAGTAGCAGCAGTAGCAGTAGCAGCGCCACGATCAGGGTGTACCTCTCGGCAGTCACACCGCCATCTGTGGGTATGGAGAAGGAAGGGACGGCGGGTAGGGGCGACGGCGGTACGACAGCGCCTGCCGACGACGTGGCTGTTGTGTGGTTGGCGGAGAAGACGGAGGTGGCGGACGCGATGGCGGCGTCAGGGACTCGTACGACGGTTCGGGATGTACGGCAGCCGGTGGACCCCAAGCTCCTCGCGGCTCTCCGCATCGCTACCTTGCAGGTGACGGGGCGCTATGTATATGTATATGTGTGTGTACGGCACATGCTGTACGCGTGTGTGTATAGGTGTGTGTGCCAGCACGGGGAGCCGCCTTTATCCCGAAGACTGTCAAAGCCCTGGGGGCCCTGGGGGGAACTGCCGGGGGGGGGGGAGGGGAGGG